TGTGCATAAAAGCAATAAAATTAAAAACAAACATTTCTTCAAATATTTTCTTTCTCTCTCTTTCTCTCTCTTTATATATATATATATATATATATATATATATATATATATGTATATATGTATACAGTGTATACGTATCAAAAACGTGCGAGTAAGAAAGGCGGATTACTATTTAAATTTGTTTAACATTGCTATTTAAAATAACAAAGTTATACGCCTTTCTTACTCGCGCGTTTTCAATACGACAATGTTGCAGGAATTATTGAAATAAGATTTTGTTATTTTATATTTTTGAGATACGACTTTGTCACTGGGAACCGTCGATATTTTCGGCAATAACGTAAAACATTAACAAACAGTTAAAATGTAAATTTGTATTCATTTATTATAATAAACAATTGTGAAATTATAAAATACATTGCAATGTTGCAAATGTTAAACAAATTTAAAATTGAAACAATAGTGGTCTTCCAGACCACCCTTGAGGTTCCACTAAAGGCGCGTTAGATTTTTTTAAAGTGGATCTTCGCCTGTAGCCATATTCTACCACATTTCTCTTGGCGAAAATAAAAATCGGAACAATTTTTATTTCCCTCCAAGATAATTACGACCTATTCGGTATGTAAGACTTAAAACAGATATGTTGAAGTCATATTACGTATAAGAATACACGCAGATGAAAAAATGTCATCAACAAGTAACCGTGCGTAATATGACAACAACTTATCATGTTTTCACTTCAGCATATGCTCGAAGTGACCCCCTTCCATCCTCTCACAAAGTATAGCCCTGTCTATAAGATTGCTCTCTGTACCCGGCGCAAGATCTGTGGCGTTATTGCACGACAAGCTCGTACAATTCTATCCTTCAGATCTTCAGCGCTAGCAGATCGCGTTGCAAATACCTGTTGTTTAAGATGACCCCACACAGAATTATTACACAGAAAAAATTTATTTTTGCACTTAATTATATGTTATGTTACTAAAAAAAGCTTTCATAGAAATTTTAAACGTTTGATCAAGAACAAATACATTTGTAAATAATTAGTTAAATAATGGAGTAATTACTATAAAAGATAGTACATAAAAAATGACGATTGATATTATACAGAGAATAGAAAAAAAGTATTTGCACACTCAATTTCTTTCAATTTCGTACAAAGAAAATAAACATTCTTATAAATAAAATGTTTTATAAAATATAAAAGAAATGTATTTTGATTGGAATACTGCAAAGAAATAGTACCGCCCTGCTTTATAGAACATTATTCTGGAAAAGACGAAAGACATTATTACTCCGAACGATTACTGCGCAGTTTATGTCTATAAGAATAATACCCATAAACTGCGCAGTAATCGTTCGGAGTAATAATGCGTCTCCGTATTTCATAACTTGAGGTATTCACATATGAACAAGTATGAGTTGTACATCGCTGGAACTTTCTTCTCAAGAAGGGAACTATAATGTTTGCAGTATCTTCTATCACAAATGCTGAAAAAAATATATATATATAATAGAAAGTGATGGGAATAGATTTGGTAAGTAAATTGATAAGTAAATTTGATAAGTAAATAATTATATAGCTTTTCGCGAACCCCATCAAATTTTCCACAAAAATTACAAAAAATTTCTTAAGAATGTATATTATTTTAAAGATGCATTTTGTATCCTTTTAATGATATACGAATATTAAAATGTCGTTCTTATTCTTTCAACAGAAAAATAAAATAATTAAGGATAAAAATGAATAAACTCAAGTAAAATGAAGAAATAGATGAAGAAAGAAAGAAGCAAGGGCAAAATAAAGATTATAAAATAGGGGTAGAACTTTCCGGGGAGTGTTATAGCGTGTATAGTTTTTCGTTACCGATCTTTTTGGGAACCGGTATCCGAAGTTTTTCCAATTTTTCGGGAAATAATTTTGACCGAATTTTAAAGAATTGTATATAAAACAGGAGTAGAATTTTCTGGGGAGTGCCATAAAGTGTACAATTTTTTGTTATTGATCTTTTTGGAAACCGGTATCAGAAATAATTGACCGAGTAGAAAAAGATTGGTTATGGACATGTTTAATCCATGAACACTTCTTATGTTTGTCCACAATAAGGATATTGAAAGACAAATAAAGTAGTTTGAAGAAAAACGACTCTCGGGCGAAGCCCGGGTAACCGCAGTTAGTAAAATAGATAGAATAAATACAGAAAATTGGTTAATTATCGTTTTAAGTCAATCATATCATTTCTGAGAACATTTACTTAAATATTTATAGTAAAATAATATGAATACATGATAGTAATAAAGAAACAAAAAGTGCGTGTATTCATTAAAATAGCGGCCGTTAGCTAACGGCCGCTTTGCGTTACGCCGCGGCGCCGCTGATCGCGATCATCGACCGAGTCCGTTCTGAGCCGTTAAACAATCAAGCCGCATGTGCGAAGTATGAAGTACAGCAGCGTCAAGAAGACGCATAACATTATTATTAGTCCCATTAGTTGCATTGTTTTGTGGATCCAGTATAATCTGTAAACAGATAAGTAAATCAAGATTAGAAGACGCGTAACCTTCTTCCATAATAAAATAGATAGAATATATAGAGAAAATTGGTTAATTATATATTGTTTTAAATAAAGAAAGAAAAAGTGGGTGTATTCAACATTAACATAGTCATTTAAAATAATTGTTTAAATAAATAGGATAAGAACGAAAAAAAAAAAGAAATCACATAGAGAGAAAGAAATAAATTCTATAATATAAATTCTCTAAATTCTAAAAATATAAATATAAATTCTATGGTGAAAACATTGACAAATGTTGCAAATGAGTGAATCTTCCTTTAATACTGATTCTGATGTCTTACTTTTTCATCCGTGAACGAGCAGCTGGCAGTGTGTCCGGACTCTCTCTCAGGATAAACTGTCGTATTCCCAGAATGTAATGCTCCAAATACGATGGCCAGTCGATTTGCCTAACGTTGAACATAAACGTGTTTCTATCCTCCGGACTGAGTTGCTTACATAATTGTTGCACGTTATTGTCCCAAAAACTCCACTGGTTTGTGGTGAAATACTCAAAGCCCTTGGCGGCTTTGGAAAGTTTTGTCTGGTGGCTGACCATTCTAGGCCGCGAGCCCTTGAGCCGTGCGAGAGTGTCTAAGATGTACGCTGGTATATTGTGCTGAAGTTTCACGCACAATGTGTTTATCTTGGAGGATCTATGGCAACGAACGTCCGGATACCAAAGAACATTGTCCATCGGGTGTAGCCGACAATATTTAAGGATCGACAGATCGATGAACTGCTTCCAAGTTATTGGATTTTGTGAGCCGGTGCAGCAGTTGTAGATTGGAATACTGTCGGTGGGTTGCGTGGCGATCCTCCATGCCGCGCAAATCATTAAGTTGATCACAATGTCGACGGGCACCAGATCCGCCACTTTCTCCTCGTGGCATAGCATAGTTCTGCAAGCAAGAGATCGCGATTTGTAAGAGAGATTTATTCGCACGAGAATAATGACTTACGAAGATTGTGAGCGATACTGAAATAACAATACCGAGAGACGTCAGTATTCATTCTAATTCTATTATAATACCGATACTAGCGATCGCTAATTATGGCCGCCCGTTGTCATCTCACCTGAAAACGCCTTTCCCAGCGGCGAGGACAAGTCCCGTGGGGCCGTTGTAATTGTCCGTCCAACCGGCGACTGGTTCTCTGTACGAGGACGTTACGATCGATGGCCTGACAATCGCCACCGGTAAAGAACCCCTTTCCTGCTGGAGCATTCGCTCGGCCAGTGCTTTGGTAAAAGTATATGTGTTTGGTCGACTGCCGATCAAAATTGGCGTGCATTCCTCCAATATTTTGTCGTCCATTCCTTCCGTCAGAGCAATCATCAGATCAGGTTCCGGTCTCACCGAATAAATCTCCTCGGCGACATTCTTCTGATCGCAATTACAATAGGCCGTTGACACGTGAATAAACGCCTACGATCAAACATTTGCATTTATCGCATATTACAGCTATAAACTGTTAAAAATACGAAAAGGAAGAATCCTGCTCTTACCTCCACATTGTGATGCATGTCTTTAAATAGTTGGACCAATCTTTTGGTGGCCAACGTATTTACGGTTACTGAAAGCTTCAAAGCCTCGTTGAAATTTATAGTTGCTGCTAAATGAAATACAATCGATACGGATTGTATTAATAGAGTTTTGTCTTCAATCGAAATGCCCAGCTGCGGTTGCGTAATATCGCCAGCCACGGGTATCATCTTGGTAAGCTCACCAGGTGAATCCCGCCGTAGTGTCTCAAAAAGCTGTCAAAAGTAATATAACTTTAAATTTTTTGAAATAGCGATTGAAATAGCAGGAGAAAAGTGATATTATTACCGGCTCGTTTAAAAGTTTTTGCAACCTCTCTTGTACATTCTGGCCCCTTTTAGGTCTCATTAAGAGGTAAATGTTTTTTATTTCGGGACACGATCTTAGTAGCTTCTCGACAAGAACCTTGCCCATAAAACCTGTAGCTCCGGTTATAAAAATTGATCTGTCTTTGTAAAAATTCTTTACGGATGTATTTTCACCAGCCATCGCTATCGTGGTCAGATCAATTATTACGCGTCCTTTAAAAAAATATCAGGGATTAGAAAAAGACAAAAGTACTTAATAATATATAGTTATTCATTAATTTATCTAATTATTGTGGCGAGTATCCTACCTGAATGACTTCGTTAAATCCTTGAATATTGTAGAATTTTCTAGAGCGAATGTCCGTTTGATTTGACGTTGCTTCGAAGACTGACTGTTATAGAAGGAAGCTTGTCCTATATATATCAACATAAATAGAACAAAATTTACATAAATAGAATCTATTTATTCTTTTTATGTAGTAATGTACATTAATCTTCATGTGTAATTACAATGTAATTACAATGTTTTCAATTAATTTAGTCTCAAGGCCTTTAAGGGGATCCTAAAGACGTTTGTATTACCGACCGAATTCTATATC